TTACTTCAACGACTCAAAAGTAAAACTATCATTGGTTTTCCCGAACGGTCAATTTCTTTACTGATTGCACGTTAACTAATCAGTGACTCCTCCCCGAACTCAGGCTGACTGAGGACTGAGTATTATTACTGATTTACCAAAAAAGTACAATTCATTTTAAAATTATAATCATTGTAAAAAAGCAAAACAAGCGAGATGGCCCAGGTTCGATTCCCGGGCAGGGCGAAACCTTAGGCAAGTTTCCTTCCTCCATACAAATGCCTCTGTTTAGCAGTAAATAGGAACCCAGTTGTTCCAATAAATTGGTCACTCAATCCACGACTGTCCCTGGGTCACTGCTGTGCGCAATTGGCTGCCGCATTTCGCCCACGAAAGTCACTACATTTTACAATATATTCTGCAAAGCGCTTTGAGACGTCTCAACGATGTGATCAGGCGCTATATCAAATGCCAGGATTATTATTGCTATTATTACGTCATTAAATTCAGTACCGAATTGAAAAACTCCAGCCAATGCAGAAGTGATACATAATGCAGTGTTTTTTTGTTAAGAGAGAGACTCACACACACTCACATTAAGTTCTGCTGTACCACCCAGGCTCTGTAAGTAGGCAGAGACGTGCTGCAAGAATTCCGTCCCGTCGCTTATCACCAAAAGGAGTGTGTCAGTGACCCTGAGTGACTTCCCGCACCCCCCACCCCCACTTGTGTTACTGACCAGCACCCCCCCCCACCCCAGTCTTCTAACTGAGGCAACAACAACAACTTGCATTTATATAGCGCCCTTCGAGCATGGCGGCCGATGGTGGCAATAGAACGCACAACGTTATCTGCTCTGAACTTGTTTTCAATGGAGCAAAATAATTAGAGGAAAGGGGAATCATCCGCATTTTTACAATCCTCAGAGTCACGGCTGATAAAGATGTAAATGACACTTTCTGACTACAAGTACGAGCTCAGGGCTGAAGTGGATACGTTTAATATGTCGAAATTAACAACCCAACGAATGATTGGAAAGATTTGCGTTCCCCCATAGAGTCGTGCATTTGTGGAATGCAGACCTCACAACACAAGCTGGTTATCGTTATTATATAATAATTATTATCCTTTCATTTGGTATAACATTTTTCACATTGGGAGGAAATCCCAAAGACCATCACAAGATATACTGACTTAATAAATAATAGTAATCCTTGCATTTGATATAACGCTTTTCATGTCTTCTCGACGTCTCAAAGCGCTTCACAGAATATACCGCAAAGTGAATTGACTGTATATTTGTGAGCGAAACGTGGCAGCCAATTGCACACAGCAGTTTCTCTCTCAACAGGATTGAGTGACCAAATTATTATCTTATATTTCTTTTCTTGAGAGATTATTGTCAGGCGTGTGGAGTAAGGAAACTTGCCTGAGGTTTCGTCCTGCCGGGACTGTATTATAATACTATAACATATAAGATTACAATGTAGTATAATATTTATTATATCAGAATATAATATAGTTATATAAGATTATAAATATAAAATTTATATAAATAATATTATAATTATTCTATTATATAATGCTATATTATAAGAAAACAAGTCTATGGTTTAAATTTGGGCTGCATTTTGCACTTTTTTAGTTTAGAACTAAGTGTGGAAACAAATATTTGGGGGTTTAGCTTTAATAATTGTCTGTTTTTCTTTCTTCTATTCCACGCTCTATTCCATTAAACAACACATCGACAGGACCGAGTGACACAAAGGACAAGTAAATAATGATCAATTACGCTTTCGTAATATGAACAGTTAGCGAGTTCAATGCAATCTCATAAAGCTCTTGGGTCAATAAAGGACGTTCAGTAGTTCAGGAAGTCTACTTTGGGCTATTCATTTTCCTGTCATGGCAATACCATGCTGTATAAACACAGCAGCAGATCGCTGCAATATTTCTGGCTGTAAATTTTGGTTTTGTGACTCCATCAGGGAGGAGGAACCCTGTGAAATAATTTTCCGTGGACCGATTCTCCGCAGATGGTCATTTTCCAATTGCGCTCATCTTCAGAAGTTAATCAGAAATACAAAACACGAGTGACAACAAGTCTCAGAATGCTGACATACCTCATTAATATCTGCTCAGAATGCCAGCACAGAGTCAGGTACCAGTACTCCCTTTTCTGATGTCGGATAAAACTGAATACTGAAGGTCATCGACTTTGAATACCCATTTATACATTCCTGTACACATCACAATATAAGCAGTTATTTTATGCCTTTGTAAAACAGGGCTTTCTAACCATAACATTTCTATCTATAAAATATACAGTCAATTCACTTTACAATATATTCAGTGAAGGGCCTTGAGACGTCTCAAAGACCGATCATTAGTATTATTATGTCTGTCTCTTCTTGAGCTTGATAAAAACCTGCTAGAAACCTCTCTAGCATTTATTTCTGGTTATATTTCAGTCCAGCATGACACCTTACCCTATTAAATTGCCTTTTCCAAAGGGTATTATTTGCCTGACAGACTGTATTAACACCTTTGGAACCTAGTGTATAATAATAATAATAATGGACAATAATCCTTGCATTGGCTATAGAATCTATCACTCCGTCGGAAGCCTCAAAGCACCTCACGGGGTTTAATGTAAGGTGTAGTAATTTTGTAGTGTATGCAAAGACAACACCTCAGACAATGCAGCATTCCCTTAGCACTGTATTGGAGCTCAGCCTGGACTGCACGTTCAAAATCCCCAAACCATAAAAAACCTCCAACAGTTCCATCTCTCTCACTCTAACTCCCTGGATTAAGTTCAGTATACAAACCTCATGTAACCCAAATGTAAAAATCTTTACAACATTCATCCATGACCTCTCGTAGTTAGTTTCCCATTTTATCAATTACATAGAGACATATCTTGGCTCCCAAATGTATTTTTTCCTGGGCACCGTTGCCACTGGCAAATGACATCAAACCTATTTTCACCCTTTAAAAAATGCTCGGTATTTAACTGGATTAATTTAAAAAGAACAGTGTGATACTGTGATGGGAAGACAATAAGGTTGCGATCAAATGAGCCAAAGGATCTTCTCCATCTAAATTGATGTTGTGAATTGTGTGTGTGAAAGGTGATGCCCTAAAGCTTTACACCTGCTGTCAGTTCCCGATGTTTCTAATTGGAACATTCATTACTTAACTACAATCAGATTGTGTGAATGAATAACAATCGTAACAGCTGCCAATTCAAGAAATTCAAATGACTTCTGCCATATTAGGATCAAATCAATACATTGATAAAGGGATGGCTAAGCAGACATTAAATAGCCAAACTAAATGGACAATAAAATTTCAATTAAAATGGAATATGAACTAAAAACTACCTCCTTTAAAGAGTCCCCATAAATCTAAAATGTCTATACTGGTCAGCGCTGCAATTGAGTTGCTAACAAGACAATGTCACTCCAAATGATCTACTTATCAATTTCAGGTGTGTTTCACCAACCCAAAGTGAGGATATCAGTAACTTCTCACGCTTCCATCATATTTATACAAGAGGATTATCAGTTAAACAATACTGCAATATCAATAAACCAAGATGTCCTTTATGCCTGATCTAAGTTTCTTTCAAAAAAAAGTAAAAGCCTTTGTTTTTGATGAGCCCCACTGGATATTTTTCAGTTCCTCGTGGAGACAAAAAATCTCTTCAGCAGGTGCGAGAAATTGACAGTAATGAATTCCGAGTGTTTTTAGAAATTTCAGTATTTTATTCCCCACACGCTCACCCGCCAAACGTGTAACTTTCCAGAACAACTTTTGCCTTAGAATATCTGAAATTGGATGACTTTATAAATAATTGAGTTGGTAATGCGTCAGAAAGTGGCGAAACAAACCCTAAGCTTCATAAGGCTCGATCTCTGCTAACAGGGGTAAGGTACTGTTCTGTGTTATTGCCCGCAGCACAAATGGTTTATTTCTGTATTGTGAAACTACATAAATATGGAATTCTGTTTATGCCACATGTCTCAAAACATTTTATGAGCAGTTAATTATTAAATACCATGAAATGCATTGGTTTGTTAAAAGTCAATTATTGATCCATATTCCCTTGATTCGATGATTGAGTGAAGCGCTAACTCCCTATATTGCTTTTTCTTCCTTAATTTGCTCTCGAGTCTCTTAAACTTTCTGCAGAATAGTTGCACATTTCCCTGGGTCAAAATGCCAACAAGAGATGTTGTGGGGGCATTGGGTTTTGAGGTGGAAATGCGTTTTTATATGGACTGCATGAAAAAAATAGAACAGGAGTAATTATCTCCTCAATGACTCACTGTTATATCACAGATCCTTGGTATGATATAATACAGGTTGGATAATGCTCATCTCTGCACTAGCAAAGATTACATATAAATGTCTGTTCTGTAATGCAGCTGCAATATGATATCGGAAGAACTTTGTTATAGCTGTAAAATCCAAACTATCTGGAAACGCAGCAGTCTCTGACATTAATACTGTCGTTTTTAATTTTGTATCAATCTATTTTAAATATCATTGCCTCCAAGTTTTTATATTGCCAATAACTTATGTTGAATATTACCTAGGGTTCAAAATATGTCATTTGTAACGCACAATATGAAAAAATAATGATAATTTGGTCACTCATGAATGTTTGTGGGACACTGCTGTGTTCAATTGGCTTCCGCGTACCGCCCACAAAATATTCACACTTTACAGTTTATCCTGTGAAGCGCTTTGAGACGTCTCAAAGACGTGATAAGGCGCTATATCAAATGCAAGGATTATTAGTACTGTAAAACAACCTCTCTACGACGATAGCAGTCCGAGGAACTTGGATTACACACTTGCTCCTTGCTCCTTGCTCTTTTGCTATATTAGTCTGCAGTACAAAAGCACTCGGAGTGACTAGAACAGCCATGCTCGTAGTGTTCATGAAGCCCGAACGATATTGCTGTATGAAGGCAAATTACAGCTTTAAATAGCTGTTACCAGACCATTACCTTTGCAGAGCTCCAGCCGGAGACTGCACCATTTCTAGTCCGAGCACAGTCCTGTGATCATCTGTATTCCAGTCACTGCGAGACATCTGCAGCAGGAGACACCGAGTCAGCAGATCAGGGTGTTCTCTATTACAGAAAAATCAATGATTAAAAATTAGGCGGTGGTGAGTAACTGACGTGTCAAATACAGAAAGCTAGCTCCTTGTCCGTTAACCCCTGCTAATAGACTGCAGTATTTACCCTGTGTGTGCTGAACATGCTGTTTGGTTTTACATAGCCTGATGTCCGCACCTTAGATTCAGAAGGTAACTATTCCACCAAGTTATATTTTACAACATGAATGTGAATTGGAATCGAGCAATAAACACAAACATTTTGTGAGTGTAGTTTTTCTCCAGCAGAAGTCCAATGCGGATCTGACTCCCAACGATCCAATGTTTTGGGGCGTGGAAGGATTGCTTTTAAAAGAGCCAAATGGCCTTCTTCTGTGCTGTAAATTCCTATGGTTTAGAGCCCCTGGATTGTTTATCCGTGTTACTTGAATTTACTTCCCATCGTTACCCTGCCTCAATCCCTCCCTCTCTCCTCATCACCCACTCTATCTACGACAACATCATCTTGCATTTATATAACACCCTCCATGTGGGGTAGCATCTCAGAGTGTACAACAGTGACCCAGCTTGAAACGAGGAGACGGGAGAGGTGACCGTAGACACGGTCAAAGGGGAAGATCTTCAGGTGCAATCTGAAGACAGTCAAGCAGAATGCAAGGCAGAGGGAATGATACTTTTATCTTTAAATTTTACTTGAAAATCTACTTCTTCAACCATATCTTGGAAGGTTTATGGAACAGTGAAGAAGATATTGGGGGGGTGGGGGAGGTTAGAAGGAACTTCTATGTGATGCCTGATGCTGGATCAATGGAATCATTGAAAAGGGAATTGGATGGACACTTGGGCAGATAAAACTACATAAGTAGGTAAATAAAGGTAAATGGGCAAACAACTGGGAAATTGAATTAATCAATAAAGATTTAGTAACACAGGGAACAATGGCACAGACTCAATGGGCTGAAATCGTCTATGTTACATAGAAACAGGAGTAGGCCATTCAGCTCCTCGAACCTGTTCCCCCATTCTATAAGATCATGGCTGATCTGTACTTCAACTCCAATTACCCACCCTTGCCCCATATCCCTTGATAACCTGACCAAACAAGTGTTTCCAAATTAAGACAGCTCAGCACTAGTCTGTAGGAGATTTTGGCACTTGCATTGATTTACGTGAACAATGTGACTTAGGTAACTCACCTGGATCAGCAACTGTTTGGGTTTCATGGTTGGGGAGGCATCAGATCAAAACACAAGTGACAGGAATCATAAACTTCCTTGAAGCATTCATCTGCTTTTCCTTCTAAACATCATAGAGTACTTTGATACACAAAAGAACCTTTAGAGATAGGTCAAATCCAGGAAGCTTGTGTAAGGACATACAAAAATTCAGGGATTAATCGAAACAACAGGGCTTTGTGGTAGCTCTGAACGAGAGACAACAGCGGGATTGTTTTCTGCGATGTTTGTGTTCAGATTGTTTCATAATGCAGTCAAAGCAAGATATCATTTTCTATGATCAAAAATATCTTTGATTAAGGCACAATTTTTGGCTTTCCTTACACCAAATGTACAGTGTTTTCAAGGATTTTTTTTGTGTACTGATAATTATCCCTCGTGTTTCAGTTGACGTCTTGAGACATGCATTTCAGCATCTATTATATACCTTCACCCCCCTCACCCCCCCCGAACATGTATTAAAAAGAGCCAGGTGCCTCATATCTTATTTCCCCCTCCAGCTTGACGTCAGGCTCTGCCACTATTAAGCGCTCCAAGACACTGCCCCTGCATGATGGGCACTATATAAATGCAAGCTGTTCATAGAATCATAGAATTATACAGCACAGAAGGAGGCCATTCAGCCCATCGTGTCTGCGCTGGCTCTTTGAAAAGAGCTATCCAATTCAATCCCTCTCCCCATAGCCCCGCAAACTTCTCCTCCCCAAATAATTATCTAAATAATTAGGAGGTTTCTCTACCTCCTGTTTGCTGGTGTCTCCCCCCCACCCCTCTCCCTTGGTAGGTATCCTGGTTCCCCATTCCATTCCCAGCCTTGTGGACCTACTTCTTGGTTTCATCCAGTGGTGACTCTGATTGTCTGGTAGGAAGAGCAGGAAACATGTCTCGTCTGTTGTTTTTCCTTCCTTTTTCCGTAGGGAAGTAGCAGCCGGTGAGGATCGGGAACTATTTATGGAAGATGCAGGAAAATGATTTAGCGCTTTGACACAGTGCATTTATTTATTTTGTCTATCTTTTTGTTTTTGGTCGCTCATTGAACTTACAGTAATAATATCCTTGCATTGAATCCTATGATAATAGCAACGACTTGCTTTTACATAGCGCCCCTCACGTGGGGTAGAGTACGAGAACGTATGACAGTGGCGGAGCTTGATGCCAAGCCAGTGGGAGGTGACCGTAGATACGGACGAAGAGGAAAAAGATGCGACGGAGAACACGAGGGAGCTGCAGGAGGCCGGAGTCAGTCGAGCGGAGGCAGCGGGTAATGGGTTGGGGAATAAGCAGGTCAGAGAAATAGGGAGGTGCCAGGACATGAAGGGATTTGAAAATGACTGTGAGAACCTTGAAATCGATCCGTTCAGCGATAGGCAGCCAGTGGAGCCCAGCTAGAACTGGTGTGATGGGGGTACAGAGTTTAGTACGGGTGAGTATGTGGACGGCGGAGTTTGGGATCAGCTGGATTTTGGGGATGGTGGAGCTGGTGAGGAGGGCGTTTGAAAAATAATAGGCTTTTGATACGATATCGCACCTTTCTCAACAGGAGGATGTTTCAAAGTGCTTCACAGGATTTGCTTTAAAGTGTAGTGACTGTATATCATGTAGGCTAAATAAGGAAATCGCCCCCCCCTTTTTCAAAATAGGTCCGTTGTTCGACTATAGGATTTCAGTATTTGTCACCTGGTAGTGTATTTGAATCACTCCCAAAGGTAAGTGCTCAATGCAGAGGTAACCACATGTGGACTTGGCACTGGAACAAAGCAAATGCCCTCAGTGAAGTAAGTACAGCACAGCCATTGTATTAGCATCAATCCTTAATCAGAAACCATCTGTTTCACATTGAAATTCAGAGAAACGACTAAGCCTCTGTGTATATTTCCATTGAAAAACGTGAGTGTTTTTTTTAAGACTTCATGGTAGTTGTAGACTGGCTCCTCCTACAAGAACTGCACAGTGCTTTCAGCACAATTTAATACCTTTCAAATACACACACACAAACCGTGAATACAGCAAAGCCCTATTTACATTGATATTAATAGTAAATTTCATTGGTAAATTAATCTTGCTATTCTTATTTCATTGCATTTCGTCGCTCAATTTATGACTGTTTGTGGGACACCGCTGTGCGCAATTGGCTGCCGTGTTTCACCCACAAAACATCCAGTCAATTCACTTTACAGTGTATTCTGTGAAGCCCTTTGAGACATCTCGAAGACATGATGAGCCGCTATATCAAATGCAAGGATTATTATTATTATTGCACTGCTGGGCTACCTTGGGATAGTGTAGAAATGCTTTTCAAATGTAACTATCAACCTACCACCAGGTAATTTTGGCACAAAATGAGTTGGAAAAATGGATCGATTTGCAAATTCCAGTTGATTTTTTTTAACTTTGATACTTCAATTGGAGATTGAACACAAGTTCGTAAAATAAAAATCCGGTGCCCTCACTTCTGGTGAGAAGGTTTGAGGTTTTTGCCAGACGTTCAATTAGCTTATCGAATCAGAAAATAATTCACGCCCCATGAACATATAAAGAAAGGGCACTGAGACAGTCAAATGTGTTCCTTCTGGTCATTTTATACAATCTACTCTCGAACTGACTCCTACCCACCCAGTTATTCTCCTGAGGGAATGTTCTGCGTAAATACTCCATGATCCCCAAAGGTCAAGCAAACACTTGAATCTATCTCCCTGCTCTCCTATCTCCATTATTCAATCCGAGGAAGCTGTCTCCACAAACAATGTTCCCTGCTTCCCATCCCAGCCGCACAAGAACCACTGCATCCCATGGAGTATTCAATCATTGCGGTCTATACTTATCCCTGTAGCCTTCAATCCTGCCCCATAATGGATATTTACCCAACCTCTTTTTTTTGAAGGGAGTTAATCATCACAGAATCGACTGCTTTTGCTCGTTAATTGTACCACGTCTCCACCCATGCTGTAGTGAAGGAAGCAAAAATCTTCTAAAGTCTAGCTTTTCCTTTGCTGAGTCATCTGGATTAACATTCCAAGCATTCATTTAGAGCCTCAGCTTGGACTAGGAGTTCAAAGTCCGAAGTGGGGCTTTGTTCCAATCCAAGATGAATGCTACCTCATCTGGAGTCCGTCACACACAATTTTTTTTACTTTGGTGTTCAGAAAAGAATTTCCCATAATGAACACGTAGTGCGTGCGATGAGATCTGGCTGTGCTTTTTCATCTCATGAGGGCAGGACAAACAAAACCACAGCTGCGAGAAAATTTAATATACAAGTTACAAGGCACTTGTACTGGGCCATGATTCAGAAATTCCAGAATTAATTTGAATCGCTTTTGAAAATCGGTTTCGAACGATCATCTGTCAACGTGGTTTGGTTCATTTCTGTTATTTCGTGCTGCTGATTTTTCTCGAGCACTCGGAAAGACCAAAGCTTGTCTTGGAGAAGAATCCTTGGTGCTTATCTGAGTGAGGAATGTTAGTGATTAAACAAGTATCACATTTTACACCCAATCTCAGGATCAAGCATTACAGGGCCAGACATAGCATGGGTTTGATAGTGAGTACATCTCCCTCTGCTCTTATCTTGACCTCCAAAGACCACCCAGGACTGGGTTAGTGTAGATTTTCAGCTTCCCACACCAGCTATTCCACTGGGCACTTTAAATCTTTGGTCTTTTCTTCATGCACCTGCTCCAATAAAATTGGTCACTGTTTGTGAGACATTGCCGGGGCACAAATTGGCTGCCATGTTCACCCTACAAAACACACAGTC